ATAATTAAAGAATTGAATTGTTTCATGTTTGGCGTTGGTTTTATCTTTAAGTTCTTTAAATAATTTCTATTTATAGCCTTCATTATTTTTCTAGTTGTGATCCATACATTTAATTCAAAAATACAACATACATTATAACAAATATCTATGCAAAAGGCTGTTTTGTTTCTGAGTAAGTGTATAGTTTTGTTTATCTATTCCTGTAGCAGGTATCATTCTCAACTTGTTGGCCATATCACCTTTTATTTCTGAAGTTCCATCTTTTTATATTTAATTTGAGAAACTTAGCATAATTTTAAGGGATTTTTTTTTTATATATTTTGACTTGAAAAATAGTCTCGCATCTTCTTATAATAGTTTACCGCTTAACTTTTTTAAAGTTTAATTTAGTTTAATCTAAATAATAAAATTAATTTAAATTTTTAAAAATATTTAATTAATTAAATAAGTTATATTTAAATTTTAAAAAAATTATTCAGATAGAGTAACTTATTTAAAATATATAAAATTCATAATAATATATTAAATAATTTATATAAATTATATTATATTAAATAAATTATATTTTAAAATAAATAAAATTTTGAATTAAAAGTCTCAATCCTTTTTGTTATAGTTGGAAAGTGTCCTTCCTGCATACCATATGAGAGAATGCATTGTTTGCTAAATTTTTTTGTTTGCTTAATTTGTGTGGTACGCATAATATTGATATATATTTGTATTTGTTGTATGTCTAATGATTTATATATTTAAATCAAATACGTGATTTGAAAGTAATAAATAAAAATATGAAATTTTATAACAAATATTTAAAGTGTTAAACTATTTTTATGATTTATTTTAATATAGCTTTATGACCTTTAAGTCATAACTATTTATATGGTTTGGTAGCTCATTTATTAAGAAAATTAATAGTTTATTAAATATTTTATTATGAAGTAGGCCATTAAAAAGATTAATAAGGTAAATTAGACTTTTAAAAAAATTAGACTAAATTTAATAAAAAAACTTATGAAAAAGAATAGGTTATGTTTTAAAATTATTAAAGAGGCTCAGGCCTACATATATAAATTCTAACCTAACTTAGCCTATTTTTATCTCTACTTAAAAGACTATTTTCTTATCACATCATTTTTTAATAACAAAAGGGACTAACAAGGCCCAACAACAATAAAGGAACCTACAGAACCCTACTCGGATACCTAAAGCATCCAAAGTTAAGAATGACCTAGGAGGAAGAGAAGTCTTATTAAAATGAACACAACTCAACCCTTTCTTAATACCAATTTTGGCAAGCTTATCAGTACTTTAACTAATTCCTTACAAGTGTAGCTAAGTCTAATGAAATTGATACTCTTAAGTATATTTCTAATACTACTAATAAAAAAAAAATAAAGGATGAGAAATAATCGGAACAAATAAGACTAAAGATAATGCATCTTTAGAATCACCCTAAACCTAAATAAGTTGAATAACCTTCTAAATAACTGATTGTATTCTAAAAAATAACTCCCGAAGCTCAGCAACAGGGGGAGCTATATTCCAAATTGCTATAGAAACCAACAACTAGATTCTCATGATGATCACGAATTAATCCCTCACATCTAGCAATTCCAAAAAATAGGAAACAACTTCATCCACATTAAGCTTCAGTTAATTAATAAGTGGGGGATGCTATCTAACTTGATACTGATCATGAAGAGAATCTACAACAAAATTGAAACCATCCCAGTAACACAAATTGAAGGACTCAAAATCACATAAATTTTTTTGAGTAATCACTTTTACATTCTGAAAGATAACATTTCTTTCTCTCCATAAATTCTAAATAACAATACCAAATAACCTACTCCGCTTCTAGAAATTATTACGATTGTTTTCCTTCTACATCTCTACCACTCATTGAACAAACAAATGTTATATATCCTTGCAATCAAACCATTTGATGAGAGAGTATTTTCATCATTTGAGGTTTTTTCAAATATTTCAAATTTTGTTATTAGCTAACTTTTTTTTTATATATATATATTAAACGAGGCAGAACACCCAACAAAAACAAGAGTAGGCTATAGGCCTAGGCCACAAAGACCCTAAAGAGTCTAGTATGAGGAAAAGCTCCAAAGAAGAGGGAGTTTTACTAAAAACAACGGAAGGCAATCCAAAATCAAAACCTATTTTAACTAAATAATTGGCACTCTAGTTTGTCTCTCTCAAAACATGATGAAATCTAACAAACTTTATATATCTTATAAGCTCCCTAATCTTGCTAATGACAAAATAAAAATGATAATTATAGTTTTGAACATTAACAACAAGGAAAATAACATTCTTGGAATTGCATTCAATCCAAATAAGTTGGATGCTGCTATCAATGACCAACCAAAGACCCCAATAGATCCCCCATAACTCAGCTACATTAGGGTGACAATGCTCTAAAGCTTTGTAGAACCTAGCAACAAAGCCTCCAGCCCTATTCTGGATCAACCCACCACAACTAGCCAGGTTTAGGAAGAAGAGACAGATCTGTCAGTGTTAAGTTTGAGTTAATTTTCAAGAGGGCTGCCAATTCACCATGTGCTACAATCCCCAAGCAAAATCCAAACTCCTTTGAATACTCCTGCAGCAATAAAAAAAGTAGTCAACATCAACAAAGATTTTATGTAACAACCCTTCATTATTAATAGGGTTATTATGAAAAATGCAACAATTCCTATTTTTCCAAAGGTTCCAGGTCTTCATCCCAAAAATTAAATCCCAATTAGGATACAAAGAATATTTTTTTTTGGATAAATTAAAACTCAACCAATTAGATAAACGAAGGCTGAAAATTTGAGACCACTTATCAGGGGTCAGAATCTGGTTCCAAATATTGTTGGCTGTCCAACAATCCCTAAGAATATGAATTACAGTTTCAGGGGCCTTCATACATCTTGAGCATAAAGAGGAAGCAGCCATTTTACAGTGGTACCTTTCCTCATTAGAGAGGAGCTTTCCATGGACAATTTTCCATAAAAGGTAGAAATCCTAGGAGACCTTTCCAATTACAAAGCTTATTAAAAATTTTGTATGCAGCACATTATTATGACGAATACCAGAAACTAAGCTATATGTAGATTTAAGTGAAAAAGTTCCATTACTAACTAATTTCCAATAAATTTGATCATGACCACTATTAAAGGCAGGAGGGTGAATCTGATCGATGAGATCACAAATATGTCTTAGAAGTAGGGTGCTAATCTTGTTCCAATCCCAAATTTTAATTTTTGCTATTTATTAAAATTTTTGGATATCCATCATCTTATCACTAAAAATTATTACTCATTAAATTATAACAATCTTAATTAAAACCTTAAATGTTTTAGAATTATATCTCCAATTTTATTATGTAATTTTAATTTTTAATATATAAAGTTTAAGAGATAAAAATGTATAAAGAAGGTTAGTAAAAACACTACTTAATAGAATAAATAAGATGATTTTTAATTTGATAAAAAGATAATTTTTTTTAAAAGTTATAAAAAAATTATTAAAAAGAATTTTGTCATATATAAATATTAGAGAATTTAACTTTTAATTGAGTTTAATAACATTGTGTGATTTAAATACCTGACTTCATCTAACAAGATCAAACCTCATTGTTGTTATTTTAATATACATGAACATTTTGACAAAAAAAAATATACTACAAACAATTTTGATACTTAAATTCGTAATTTTTTTTGAAATACACCAAAGTTTAATACTTATCCTCTTATTGTTAATTTTTTAAAAATTTATTTATGATAATTGTTTTTGTAAGTACTTGTATGAGTAGTATCATGTAACAAATTTTTTAGTCTCAATAAAATATATTACATTTAAAATTAATCATTAAAAAAGTTTGTAAAAATTTAGTTTCTAAAAAATTAAGTGACTACAAAATTTAGTCTCTATCTTTAACAAGGTAACGAGAGATATAATTTTAAAATTTTTAATTTTATTCTGATTAAACAATGATATACTCAATATTAGGTTGAATCTCTATTAACTCAATGCAAAAATTGTAGATAAAGACTAATTATTTACTTGATTAATTTATTATAAACTAAATCTTAATAAAATTTATTTAGAGGTCAATATAAATATAATTAATTTTATAGAGATCAAAAGTTTTATTTTAGTATTTATTTATTTTTTCACTTTTAAATATTATAGATTGACTAAAGTAAAAATATATCATCTGTTAAATACATGGTAACACTAAATTAAAACTTTATAAGTCAACTCCGTTCTTAACATAACTAATTTTTTTGTGTTTAATTTGTTAGAAACTAAATATCAATAATTTGTTTTAAGATCTAATTTCAAATATAATAACTGTTATAAGAATAAAATCTTGTTATAAAGAAAAATGGCTAAGATTAACTTTTACACGAATGGAAAACATTAACGTTAATATTTAAAATTGTGTTTAAACATAATTAATTTTTAGTGATATTAAAAGAACAACAATCAAATAAAAGTCTTTTAAATATAAAAATTAATTTATAAAACAATGTCACCTATGAAAGTTAATAAAAAAATAGAAAAAACCCAAGCAGCATCTGAAAAGTTGATAAAAGTTACACCTATGAAAAAGGTGGCTCCAACTCACGTTATCCTTTTCCATTTCCATTTCCATTTCCATTTCCATAGCTACTTTTTACCCCCATCCCCTCGCACCAGCAAAAAGCTGGAAGTGAAATCTGGGAACAAAAGGAAAACATACAATTTACAAAAAGGTTTTGCTCCACAAAGTTAAAAAATAATAAATGCTTATTAAAATGTTAAAATATATTAAAAATTACAAAAGTAAGTATATTTTTAACAAATTATTCTATTTTTATACTTTAACAATTGCTATTTTAAGATACTGATTGATATTTATCTTTTATAAAATTGGTGAAAATAATTATTGTTTCTTAAATGCGGAAAGAGAAAGTAATATAAGAAAGTTGGATAGAGATAGAGAGGTATCAGGGATACACGTCCTGTGGCGTCGTTTGTGTATAAATAGCGGAGAGAGAGCCACACTTGTCTCCATTTAACACAGAGCTTACTCAGTGTTTGTGCCAATATATCATTATTCATTAGCATAACAGCACTTTCACAGTTTCACTCACTGTTTAGTAGGGTTTTTCTTTATCCCCTTTTTTTCTTTCTTCTTCTCTTCGCCACTTCCACGCTCCCATTCCGTTTCGCAAAGGAGCAACAGAGAACGATTCAGTTATAGAGAGAGAAACTTGGCGAGGAGAGAGATAGAGAGAACGATCATGGACGCTCCCGCGGTGCATTTGGCCTTGGCAGCGCTCGTCGGAGCATCCGTCGTCGCCGTGTCGGCGTACTATATGCACCGCAAGACTCTCGCGCAGCTGCTCGAGTTCGCGCGCACCGTCGAGAGGAAGAGGGAGAAGGATGGCGGCGCCTCCGACGGTGAATCGCCGCCGCCGCATTTGAAGAAGCGCCGCGGCGGCTCGAGGAGAAGAGGCAACGGTGGGTACCGGCGCGGCTCGGCGTCTTTGCCGGACGTCACGGCGATCTCCGGTGTGTTCGACGGGGATGAGAAGCGGAACGGGCCGGTGCATGTTGAAGGGATTCCGGCAGGGTTGCCGCGGCTTCATACGCTCCGTGAAGGTATCGTGCTGAAACTTTTCACCGGAGTGATGATCTCGGGTTTAATCAAGGATTGTTTATGTGAATTTTTCTTTTGATTGTTTTATTGAGATTGCTTTTGTTAGAGCAGTGAGTTGAGCTACAATCTGGCAGCTATCTGGTGTTGAATCGTGTTCGGTAGTGTTTTGACCTTTGATGATCGGTTTTTGCTGCTTGGATTGTGTACAATGTGTAGGCTTTCTATTTAAGGAGTGTGGAGTTCTTCCTTTCGTGGTGTAATTGGAGAAATTGAAGTCAATTTCAAATGAATTGGAAGGAATTGATTCCCTTGTTATTTGTTGATCGTGTATCCTATAATTGATACAGTTTTTGGTTGTTTCAGTTCTGTAATGTATATGACTGACAGAAAAGTTCACAGGACAGGGGAAAGGATTATCTAAATCATTAATTTTGATTAATGTGTTATTTGATTTATAAAACAGAGTTTAGTAGGGAAGCAAATAAATTAAGGAGTCAGAATATTACTGGCTGTAGATAAGTCTCCTAACAATTTAGACATCTGAAGTTTAAAGACCCGAACTGCTTGACCTATTTTCAACTCTAGTTGTCCGGAATTTATTTATGAATCTTTTTGTGCTTTTAAAGAATTTTACCTGTTGGAGAGTTTGAGCTAGCATGGACCTCTACGGATATGATATGATTTAACATCCAAACTTATAATTGTTCAGTAAAGCGTAAAAAAGTATGAGGTGCAGCAGGTTCCAGTGAATAAAACAGAAGTCAAATGGAAAATGAAAATTAAAGAGAGAAGGAAGGACAAGGGAAATAAACTGAAGCATTGGAATGATTAACAGACTGAAAAATCTTATTCCCCTTGAATAATTTCACAGTGGGTCAATCTTCTTTGACCATATTCCTCCGATAAACCAGCAAGGATTTCAACTATACATTTTTGGAAGATCATCCTTTTCTTTACTGCTATATTTGTTTTCTTCAATTGTTGCTGATATGCCTTTGCGATGTGCCCAGAATTAAGATATCCTTCACATTCTTTCCTGTTTTTAACTGTGGAATGGTTCTAGGGTAAATCTTGTGGTAAAATCAACATGTTTTTGTATTATACTACACATCTTTTTGACTCTCTACCTGTACTAGTACAAGAACTCTCCATTGATAATGTTCATCTTAATTTTTTTCCCCATACTAAGATATGTTTCTGACAGGAAAATCTGCACAATCTGGTTCCTTTAAGAGAAGTCTTTTAAAACCAACTTCTCCCAAGTCTCCAGTTGCAAGTGCTAGTGCCTTTGAGAGTGTAGAAGGATCAGACGATGAAGATAATCTGATAGACAAAACTAAACTGGATACTGCATATCTGCACACAAATGGAAATGTTGTAAGTGTATTTGATATTCTACATATATAAAAAAAAATTACTGTTGAAATGACAAGTAGCTTTCTCTGTCTCTCTTTCCGTCCTTTCTTAATGCTTCCTTGCCCTGGCTTTGGACTTAATCTAGCTTTTTCCCGTTAGACTTTTGCTATGCTTCAATCATAAAAGGATGCAGTGTTCTATATTCACTAAAGTAAAAAGTTTAAATGATCTCTGATGTTGAATTTGAAATTATTTGTATGCAGGGGCCAGAAGGTAAAAATCCATATGAGACTTTACCTAATCATGTTAATGCTAATGGAGAGCAGATGGCGATTGCTGCTTCAAGTATGATCCGTTCTCATAGTGTTTCTGGTGACCTGCATGGTGTGCAGCCTGACCCAATAGCAGCTGACATTTTGAGGAAAGGGCCAGAGCAAGAAACTTTTACAAGATTGAATATTACTCCTATTGGTATGAACTATGAAATGTTGCTCATTCTCTTGAGTAAAAATAAATTGCTTTTAATGTATTTTCTCAGCATGCATGGAATCCATCACCTTCAAACACTGTTTGGATGACAATAATTGCAATTCTAGATAATCATATAGCAAACTTAATTATATTTTCTGTTTAGAGGCTCCGTCACCGGATGAAGTTGATGCTTACATAGTTCTTCAAGAATGCCTCGAAATGAGAAAAAGATATGTATTTAGAGAAGCAGTTGCTCCATGGGAAAAAGAAGTTATATCTGATCCTAGTACTCCCAAACCTAACCCAGAGCCATTCTTTTACAGCCCTGAAGGGAAGTCTGATGTGAGTTTTTTCTCGCACCTATGAATACTTGGATCTTCCTACTTTATATCCTGCTGTGATTAAATTAATATTTCTGTTGTGCTACAGCATTACTTTGAAATGCAAGATGGGGTTATTCATGTATATCCAGATAGAGACTGTAAGTGACAAAGGAGTTTGTTATTAGTAAACTTGGTAATTTTATCATTCAAGGTGGGATTCTTATGTTCATTTGCCTGATACTTGCAGCCAAAGAAGAGCTTTTTCCTGTTGCTGATGCAACTACCTTTTTCACTGATCTTCATCAGATACTTCGAGTCATAGCAGCGGGAAATATCAGAACTTTATGCCATCATCGGCTTAATCTTCTAGAACAAGTAAATACATGTCTAATTTAGTGAATATTTAAGCTGCAGCCTATGCTTGTATTTTGACTTTCAATTACATATATTACATATAAGAATCAAGTGGTTGTTTGACAATTTGTTCAGAAATTCAATCTTCATTTGATGCTGAATGCGGATAGAGAATTTCTTGCTCAGAAAAGTGCACCACATCGGGACTTCTATAATGTTAGAAAAGTTGATACACATGTCCACCATTCAGCATGCATGAATCAGAAGCACCTTTTAAGATTCATAAAGTCAAAGTTGAGGAAAGAGCCTGATGAGGTGATGTTTTGGATCTCTTTGTTGCTGTGCTGTACCATACTGAGCAGTAACCCTTTACGTCCTCTCAATGTTGTGATTCAACTGTATAGCAGAAGAGATAAGCCACAAATTAGGCTTTTTTTAGTCATTTAAATTTGGGCATGTTTTAATGAGTATTGAATGTAGTAGTTTAGTTTAGATTATAGTATTGCAACCTGTGAATGAATTAGGAAATGTTACTAGTATGCTTAAAATGATTGGTCCACTGTCGTCACTTGCAGAAGTATATATCATTTGAATTATGCTATTTTCTCTTTTTAATTGTAGATTTATGTGAATTATATTTTATGAAGCTGATGTGCATTGCTTACCATATCATGTACGCTTTTAACTTCTCAGGTTGTAATATTTCGAGATGGGACATATCTGACCTTGAAAGAGGTTTTTGAGAGTTTGGATTTAACCGGGTAACAAATTTTTGTAATTTCTGTTATAATTATAATTGAAATTGGCTAGCAGTAAGTTTCCGTAATTAATCTTGTTTTTAACTCTTCTTTAACAGATATGATCTCAATGTTGACCTTTTGGATGTACACGCAGACAAGAGTACATTTCATCGCTTTGACAAGTTCAATCTTAAATACAATCCTTGTGGTCAAAGTAGGCTTAGGGAGATATTTCTGAAGCAGGATAATCTCATTCAAGGTAACTTATTTTGGGTTATAACACACTCAAAGTTCTATCACCCCTATGTCTTTACTTTTATACACATTCAATTTGGTTCCTACACTTGACATTGTTTTTCATTTTAATCCATGTATGTTATTTTGGTCCCTCCATATAAAAACTCTACATTTTGATCCCTACTTGACATATTGTTTTTTTGTTTACATGACATATCATATTTTTAGTGGTTGGCTCTTGCATGAAAATACATTAATTCCATTATTACTTTAATAAATGGTGGGAGGACAATTTGTAATTTCTTTTTATGTAAGAATCAAAATATAAAAATTTTCATAGAGGGACTAAAAGAAAAAGGAAGTCAGGTAGAGGGACTAAAATTATAATTTGAATGTTAATATATATAGCTTATTCTTGTAGGAGGGTGACATTGCTTGAAATATGTAGTATGTATGTATATATATGTTTGAATTTTAGAATTTCAAACTGTCATGTTCAGCTTTGAAAGCAGTTTTATATTGCTTTTAAGATATTGCAACCTGTGGATTAATAAAGTAGTGGGAGAAGCAAAAATGGGAAGACTTGGAATGAAATACTTCTAATTATTATCAAATTGTTATATTGCTTGAGTTTATAATTTGTGTTAGTTGTCTTCAATTTCTAAGCATCACGACTTACATGTGCTATTACTATTTTATTGCATTGAATAGGACGTTTTCTTGGTGAGCTGACAAAGCAAGTGTTTTCTGATCTTGCTGCCAGTAAATATCAGGTGCATTCCTAAATCCTGGCATGCATTTTTTTCTAACATGTCAGTTATGTATAACAGTCTGAGAGTTCTCTTGGCAGGCTAGTCTCTTGATAATTAATTCTAAAGTACTGCCCTAGGGTCAGAGTGTGCTCTTTTGACTTAAATATCATATATTCTTTGAATGTAGGAATTCAATATTATGTATAATAATCAATGGTGTCTCAAATATTTACATTGGATGTTTATTTATATATGCAAAACAACCAAACACCCACATGAACTATCCTCATTCTAAGTTAGGATAAAGCAATTCAAAATAGAATAAAATCCTTGAATAAAATTCAACAACATTGAATCCCTAATTGAAAACTGTGACTACAAAATTAAAAACCCTTAATGAAATAACAAATATATTGTTTAATCTACATTTTCCCTCAATGAGAAGAACTTTCATTCACAAAGTCAAGACAAAAAGATTCAATGAGGGTTGAATCCAGTTAATGAAATTATGAAAATCATCCTCCGGGTTTGATGTAGTATATGAAACAGACATCTGTTGACTTTGTGAAGTTTTGACAAAATGGAGAGGAAGAGTTGCCATCATCTTCATATTTGACAATGCAGGGGCTCTAGCAACTTTGGGAAATTAAGAAGATTTGAGACTTGAAACAACTGAGAGACAATTAGGGCGGTTGAAATGTGCCCCAGTCTTGTGTCCTCCATATTTGAAATTGAATTTAAGTCATTACCAAACAAATTTAGTTGCAACTGTTTCAATAATTGGTGATTGTTTTGCTTTGGGTTTAAATGCACTAGACTTGGATTTAACTAAAATAGGTAAGACCCAATAGCTCTAACATAAAACTATTTAAACAAGTATGTTGGGTGAAGGTTGAAATGTTTTCTTACCATCACATAATCACCCACATTAAAACTGAGCCCTACAATGCATGTTAGCATTTAGGAAGATCATGAACCTAGGAATAAAGGTCAGTGTGCTAATGTAATGCTGACTGGGTGTTGATGTGGCAGTGGTGTACCCCTTACTAATGTTGTAGTGTGCGGCTAATGGATACTATGGTACTGACACATAGATGATGTCACGTAATTGTGTCTAGGCAACAATATGTGTGGATGTATGGTCCATATGCAAGAATAATAATATAGGGGCGTGCCCTGTGTGCAGGCTTTGATGGCCCTGGAAATATTGGTCTTGACAGATTGAGCAATGCTGTAATAATGATGTTCAGAAGTGTGAGAAACTATGTTGGCTAATGTGTTTCAGAGTTTAGTCTGGTGATGTGTTATAGTGTGGGACATTGGATTGGAATTGTCAAATCCTGATGCCGAGTTTGATAATGGCCTGAAAATGCAAAATCTGAGAATTGGGAAAAACACGGAAACCTAGATGCTGATGAAGGGTGATAGCAGTATCAAATTTTGGCTCTGAATAACAAATTTGATGTATAGGACAATCCAAGCGTGCTCTTCTTGGTAGGGTGCTGTCTAGTGCTCCTTTCGGATGAAGTGCTCTTCTGACTAAAAATTTAGAAGATACTATCTGAATGAAAGAAATTCAACATCATATAATAATCAAAGCATATGAAGTTTCAAGACACTTGGTTATTATATTGAGAAAAGATCTATTTATATTTTCTTTTTGATTGATATTGGTGAAAAAGATTTCTTAAGGCTCAGCATTTGTGTTCATTACACTTGCTATGATTTTCCTGGTTAGATTCAGAAGCATTATAGTGTAGGTAGGGAGGTTTATATTTATAGAAGCTCTTATGTTTATGTTTATATAAGCTATTATTAATGCTTTTCAACCTTTGTAGTAGTAACCAATTAAGGCATTATTTCCTTTTTTCTGCTTTTGGATGTAGAAGCTGTATAATTTGGTATTTGTAATAGTTTCCCATTTTGCCACCTAATGTACAATTCTCGGTTGTTGACAATAATTTGCCATTTCTTGATTGTTATTTTTGATTGCTTATCCACTCCTAGATGTTTGTTAACTTATGTCTCTCTGTATCCAATTTATTCACAGATGGCTGAATATAGAATATCAATATATGGTAGGAAGCAAAGTGAGTGGGACCAACTAGCAAGTTGGATAGTGAATAATGATTTGTACAGCGAGAATGTTGTTTGGTTGATTCAGGTATTCTTTAGTTTTTGTTTAGATCACAGATATTTCTCATATTGATATAGCAACGATTTTTAATATTTCTTAGTTTTCTTCCATAAATCAGTACTCTGAAGTCTCATCAGTTGTCAATTTAACATTTTTCAGCTTCATATTATAAGAAGCTAAACATGGCTCCAATTCTGCAAATAATTGTCTTGATCTTCCTCTTGAGACTGCTAAATTTCTTTTCTTTTAGAATTTTGGGGAACTTTTTCATTTATGGCTTAGTTTGCTCATAAAATTTACAGTGTTAGCAATTGATGGTAGTTCTTATAAAATCTGTTTTGCAGCTTCCACGATTGTACAATGTATACAAAGAAATGGGAATTGTGACATCATTCCAGAACATGCTTGATAATATTTTTATTCCACTTTTTGAGGTTACTGTTGACCCCGATTCACATCCTCAGCTGCACGTTTTCTTGAAACAGGTGTGTTATTCCTTTACATATACATTTTAAACACCCAGTTTCAGTCCTCCAATATGAAGTGTCATTTGTTTGGTCCTCATCATAAATATTTCGAAAATATCCTTGTCATTTTTTAAACTAAATTGACCATTGAAAAGGAACCAGTTTGATATTTTGATGTATATTCATCAATGGAGGACCCAACTGATGACACAATTTTTGGAGGACTGTAAGGGTACTGACTCTAATTTTTATATGCTGAAGGACTTCTGTCTTTAAAACTAGTCAGTTACCTTTGTTGAGTGCTGAAATGACTAAAACAATGCATTGCTGAAGTTGATTTTGCAGTTGCTTTGTTCCAGTACGATATAGTATTAAATCTCTAGATTTTTTTAGGTTGTTGGGTTGGATTTGGTGGATGATGAAAGCAAACCTGAAAGACGGCCAACAAAACACATGCCCACACCTGCACAGTGGACTAATGTATTCAATCCAGCGTATTCATACTATGTGTATTACTGTTATGCAAATCTTTACACATTAAACAAGGTATGTAGTTTTTCTCTAGAATATTTACATTTCTGTATCAATTTCTGGGTGCTAAGCTATTCACTCTTTAAAAAAAAAAAAAAAAAAACACCTTATTGATTATGGGAAAGAACTAACATTGGGTGGGTCTGTTCTTAATCTCTCGTAATAGTGTATATTGCATATTTCTCAAATCACAGTATACTAATATTAGCAGTCTCTTAATATAATCTTTTAGATATCCTTGTTTCTAGTGACCATAGAATACTTAAAATATGTAATCCAAGAATTTTCTGCATAACTTCATCACAAGTACTTGAATTTTTATGCTCTGTTTTGCACACCAAAGATAACAAAATATAAATATTTCTCAGCTTCGTGAATCAAAGGGAATGACAACAATCAAATTCCGTCCGCACGCTGGAGAGGTATTATTGAAATATATTTTCTGTCTATTTGTTAATTTATTGTGTGAGGAGACCTGATGCCTCTTATTGGCTTTAGGCTGGTGATATTGATCACCTTGCTGCAACCTTTCTCACGGCTCACAACATTGCACATGGAATCAATTTGAGAAAATCTCCTGTGCTTCAATATTTATATTATTTAGCCCAGGTATGGCCCTTTTTTCAACTGATGACTTGGTTGTGAACTTGTGATACCTACTGTAACTAATTTTAGTTGACTATCTTCTATTAGATTGGGCTGGCAATGTCTCCTTTGAGCAATAACTCACTATTCTTAGACTACCATCGGAATCCTTTTCCCATGTTCTTCTTACGGGGCTTGAATGTGTCACTTTCTACTGATGATCCACTCCAAATTCACTTAACAAAGGAACCATTGGTTGAAGAATATAGCATAGCTGCATCTGTGAGATATCCCTCTCTCTCTGTATGACATATAAACAGACAATGTGGTTTGTCAGAAGACTCAACATAATTCCATAATTCTTCCTTTATAGGTGTGGAAGTTGAGCTCATGTGATTTATGTGAGATTGCTCGTAATTCAGTTTATCAATCAGGTTTCTCACATGCTTTAAAGGTACATTATGTATCCTGAGTCTCTTGTGAATGAAATCCTCTATCCTCAAGGCATAATTGAGTATTTTATTCATATCCTGACATAAATTCAGTGCACATGGATAAAATATTTAATATGATTTTCTTATTGTACTGTACTGTATTCTTGTTGAGTGTTTATTAGTCAGGATTTTATATTCACATAATTTTGACACAATTATTTTGATGAAAGATTGATAAAATATTTTCTAGAACCTCCTATAAATTATTTATTTAAATCTAGGACAGAACATGGGATAGTGAACTCCATGTTAGCTGTGAAGTTTTTGAAACTTAAAAGTTTTATCTATATTTTTACCGGTAAAACTCCAATTTTTCCCGTCCAACTCTCCAGCTCAACAATGTGAAACAAGATCCCCAAACATTCTCAAGTGTGCATTTTAGTCCTTCTGTAAAAATTTCTGTCTAACATAAATGGAAATTACCATGCTGAAGTCATCTGACCATTTGTTGTGCCTAATTCTTCATGGGAATAATATAATTATGCTTTCCAAACTAGATTCTAGTGCACCTTGCTTTTTAAACTTAACAAAAGTGGCAATATTTGTTAATGTATGGAGGATTGAAGTGCATACTTTAGGAAGTTGAGGGAATGGGGGATTATATTGCATGTTTTTGAGTTTGAGGACCAGAATGCTCATGATCCTAAGTTGGAGAGTGTAAACTGAACTTTTTCTTTACTTTTTTTTAATGATTAAAATGAAATGATAGTTTGAATCCAAAGTCTGGGTTATTATATGAATCATCCATATTCTTCCTTAGTGTTTTGAGATAATATGAAATGATGTCATGTGATCATACGAGATGTTTATATAAATGCAAACCTCTTGCTATTTGAAAAAAATAGATGTGTTTTTAAATTGTTCTCAACTGATCAGTTTCTTGTTTTAGTCACATTGGATTGGTAAGGGGTACTACAAGAGTGGGCCAAATGGAAATGACATTCAGAGAACAAATGTTCCGCACATCCGGTTGGAATTCCGGGATACGGTATGGGTTTGTTTTTTGATTATGGCTAAATTATAATTTAACTTGTTCTAGCTGTTAATTTTTCATGCGATTCTGAATTTATTAATTATTCTTGATTTCTTTTCATGTGTGGTGGAAATATACTGCATAAACAAATTGGGATTGTTAAGGAATTAGAAATAATATTTATTACTTTCTATTAAATTATGTTAATACTTAAATCAGAAAGTGTAACTGCTTCTACTTTCTATTTAGAAGTTTTTCTGTCTGATTTGTTCTAATGCGTATGTTTACAAGACCTTTTTCTTGTCGATAAATTTGTATATAAAAAATGGTTTAAAATAAATTTTGGTCCCTGTAGTTTTTTTCCCGTGAGTTCAACATACTTAATACTTCTTTCCTTGTGTATCAGTCCTTATAGCTCCATGGTATTATTGAGGTTTTGGTCTCCCAAGGACTACCACCTCAATAACTATAGGGACCAATCTTTCTTGGAAAATATGATCCACTTTTGATTTATGGACACTATTAGGACTTAAGCCTGAATAAGTTACAGGTATTGGTTTGATACTCAACGTTTGGGACCAAAAACTACGTGAAAATATAGGAACAAATACAATATGTTATAGGGACCAAAACGTTTATTGGAGATCGGAAGGACAAAATTATTCTTTAAACCTGAAAGTATTTTCTTGATTATGTGATCGGTTGAAGGAGAATCACACTGTATGATTGTTGTCCTTACAGATTTGGAGAGAGGAGATGCAACAAGTTTATTTGGGCAAAGCCATAATTCCTGATGTGGTCGAGAAATAATTTGGCCAGAGGCATGTATTTCATACATGAACAAATGAAGGTTGTGAAATGTTCCATTTCCTTCTATCCTGTTCCGTTTCTTTTTTTTTTTTTTTTTTTCGAGGTTGCGTGGTGCAGGTTCTCTTGGTTTTCTTTTTAGAATTTGGTGATTCCTGACTTGCGTCAAAGTTAACTGAATCTGCTCACTTGTAGGTAGAAGGTAAATTCCTCAAATCCATCCTGCATCAGAGATATATACTAAGGCTGAAGACATCATAGCACTGGTTTGACGATATAAACCAGATACATAATATAGATAATCGGCAAGATCAGATCTTGAGCATCGAAAGGTTTATGGCTAGAAATCAACATAGCCCTGGGAAAATGTTTTCTTGTATTTTGGGCCTGGGTTAAAATTATTAGGGTTAGCAATAATTTCATGCATCAAGCAAATGATGATGCGCGTTGATGCTAGTAATATAAGATATGATATATCCTTTGAAGGGAGAGGGATTCTCCCTAAATTTTGATTCCCATTGTTTATCCATATATATAGTGCACTTCAGAGATGACAGACGGGGTGCCATATTAGTTTTGCCGTTCATATTCTAAGTGCATGTGTTTTGCGTTGAGGAAGCGTCTAATGTGCGTAAACACTACGAAGAGCGGGTTCTCAGAATTACACGTTGAGGTATAGTGTGGAAAGTATATTGTCTCAGCATTTTTGCATGTTTTTTTAATGATGTATTAATGATGCGTTAATGAAACTTCAATTAAATTATACTGATCCAAATCGGTAAACGTTTCATCCTTTTCTGGATGATGTATTTACACACCCATGCAATGAAAATGACGCACTTACCCCAAAATGTCGTAGGGTAGGATAAAATATTCCTCGGTCCGGTAAAGACCAACAGGAATTGAACAGTCTGTTGTAAATAAACTGTTAAAGAGGATCAGGAATGCAAAAACACCAAGTTGAAGATACTTCCTGAGATCAAACCCATAACAGTAAAGGCTAACCTCAACAATTTGGTATAATTTGCTCAGGTAAAGACTAAAGAAGTTTAGATTTTGTAGCACCAAGGCCGATTAAGCCCTAGGCAAATAACCCTCTTCCCCGAGGCGACTCATCATGATCATTCCATGGCGACTCGTACACTAACAAGAAAATTAAGACAAAAATTACATTAAGACAATTTAACAAAATATCATTTTGAGAATTTTTAAAAACATTTAAACTATAGTTATTATCTTAAAGTTACCTAAAATTCTAACTCGGAACTAATTTACTTCAAGGCGACGCTCACTTTATTACCCAAGCAAACTCCCTTCATCTGAATAAACTAGACCATAAAAGAGATTTTCGTCGACCATATATTCTTACTAATAAAGCAATATGTCAAGAAAATCAAAAGATCAAATTTATTTTACTATTTCGCAGAAGCAAGTTGCATTCAATTGCATTTATCAAAACATGGACACTAGAAAATTAAATTGGAGTTGCAACAAGTATAGCAACTATGTAAATCGTTTCTGCCACGATTGAAGTTAAAATATATAAGACGATTATATTCTAATATTAGACATAGTCATTACGCACTTACATATTACACGGAAATGGAGGCAAAACAAAGGGCATACACGTTCACGTTCTAGAAGGCTAGAGCCATGCCCCAGTACACAATCACTTCCATAAGAGACACCCATACAAAAACTCAAACCTAAAACTACCAACCTTAAAACACTAAACATTGACTCGTATGCTAGCTATTTATTTATTACACAGCACACAGTGACACTTTCCCTAACTACATATAACGTCATAAGCCATTCTTTCCTACTTCATGAAACATGGACAATACATATTTTAGCTAGCATAATATTAAGAACACACTACCCAGGTGGTACTAAACGGTGTGATATGATCACTGGTTCTGATTCTTACTACCAGTCCTGAACTTGGACTCATCGATGTCAACACCCTCCTCTTGAGCACGCTCTCCTCCTGATTTGTCCATTGTGCTCAACCCACCCTTGCGCCCCATCTCTTGATACCCTTCTGTTCCTAGCTGCTCCTTCCTTGTTTGGCCCCCTCTGCTCCTCCCTTTCACATATACACAATCACCAAAACAAACAAACCCCAGAATCCAAAGTCAAACAGTTATTGGCAAAGAAATACCAAAACAAAAATAAATTCTAAAAGAGCGACATGTATGAAAATGATTTATTTTCACGCTTCTAGAATGTATATATATCTTGGGAAATAAAAGAATATAATAAGATGATACTAAATATGACGAATAATAATGATGTAAAAATAAATGAAATAATGAAGTATAATAATAGTCTTACACAAATTATTTTGTTACAATTTTTATAATGTAAGAAATTTAGAAAAAAATCATAAAAAATGTATATGTTTATTTCTCAATAATAAATGAGGAAAAGAAATAAATACAACAAGTGGCAAATAATGATGAAAAGATACTAAAAAGAGACTCAATGATGTGTAAAATGAATGTAAAAAGTTTAAGTATGACCGTGTGAAAAAATTAAGGTTAATATTTTGTAGATTGATGATAACCTTCAGCAAGGTGTTCCTGAGCCTCAAGGCTCTTGCCACCAGTGCCACCAGGAACTACAGTCTCTCCATGCCTTGCCCTGTCGTCAAGTTCTTGTCGATTTTGTTGACGAGATGCCATGTTTCTCACACTTAACAGATTCTCTCTACACTTTGATGGATATGATGGTTATGTTAACTTGGTTTGTGCTCAAAGATATGTACAGCAACGGAGGGTTTGAGGCTTTATATAGAGAAAAGAAATGTGGCATATAATTAATGCTTCGTAATTCATATGCATGTAATATTATTAACCCCAATAGTAGAATTCAAGTATTTAAAAACAATAAAATTTTATCAAAAAATATATTTATATTAAAAATAATTTTTAATAAAATTTTACTATTTTTAATCATTTACATTCAACTTAAAGATTGAATTGAAATTAAAATATTATTATTATTAGAGGAAAAACTCAGAAGCTGACAACAGGTGAAAATGGAACAGTAGGAGTTGCCATGCATCGACACGTGTGACACAGACGCGGCTAAAGAAGAATGAAGACACGCAGGTGCTGTAACTCTCGAAATGACACGTACCAACTGTGTAGAGCACAGTGAACTCTCGCCATAGTTGCTCGGTTGCGGTTGTCTCTAGCGTTTATTTCACTAATCTTCAGGTGCTACTGCTACTGTAAATTAAACCAGTTTTTGCGTTGTTTATGCAATTGGGGTCCTTTTCTCATCGTTATTAATTATTGTAGAATAGATTATTCAGTTGGAACACTCTTAGGATAAGCATTCGGTTAATATTTAAGACATGTAACAAAGTTATGAGTCATAGTAAAAGCAGACATTTTGTTTTTGTCAATATTGATAAAGTGTCAACGATGGAGTATTTTACGCGAGAATGTTTTTTGTGAGATACATCTTATACTCATTTAAGTCATCAAAATCACAATCTTGAAATTTTGGTTAGCATTAAGCCAAAAGACGATCTTACCGACTTAAATTGACCTTCAAGTTTAAGAAGAAATCCAGGTTATATGGACTTTTCGTTCTCCTTGCAGAACTATCTATCTATATCCATATATAAAACGTAAATGATTTTTTTTTTCTCGATTTAGACATTCTAATCTATTTAATAAAAGCTTATAGTAATAAAGTAAGGAAACAAAATATTATTTATGAAAACTACAATGAGAAATTCTAATAAATCTAATCCTTAAACTTCATGAATTGAGCTCGGAAATCAGCAATAACAAGAGAGCAACCTTTATTACTAATTAAACTTTAAAATTGAGTTAGATAACACAAGAATAATTATAAATTTAGTCTCCTAAAGTGATACTTTATTTATTTATTGTTTTTAAAAGCATCATTATGTACAATTTAAGTCTGTCATTATTTATTTTTATTTTTAGTCTTTACCAAAGTTTGGTAATAAAGTGTGATAGAATTATTAATGTGACAAAATATTCATGTGATTAAGTGTCGCATATATATAGATTACCGAGTTCCTTACAAATGTTATTTTTTTATATGTAAATTTGGAGTTTATTCAGGAGTTTATCAACGGTTTATAAAAATAATTTATGATTTTTATAAGTTTTTAATTTATTTTAATATTTTTCATGATTTATTAAACTAATTTTTTATTTTAATAAAATACAAAATTAAATTTATCATATAAATTATTATATAAAGAATATCTAATTAAATAATGTATCTAAACTTACCTTTTATTTATTTTTAGTTTTTAGTCAACTGTAAATAGCTAATTTTATCTTAAATTTTATTTTAAATAAACAACAATAATAAAGAAAAATAAAATTTAGAAAAATAAAAAATAACGATTAAATTTTTTAGAGTTTAAATGAGTCAATAAGATGATCATGGATAAAAATATGATTACTAAAAAAATAGAGATAATGAGTATATCTTTTAAGGCTGAATGGACATGATGATAGATAAAAAATGATTAGTGATTTTTGACAAATACAGAATGAAAGAAAAGATAAAAATTTAAAAAATAATGATAAAAATAATTAATCAAATAATAATCAATAGAAAATATAAATAAAAGGAGATATCTTTAGAAAGAGGATAGAAAGAGAAAAAATAATGAGAAAGTTAAAATAAAAACAAAAATTATGAGAATAACTCTTTGTTGCACACATTTTAAGAAAAAATATTTTTAAAAAGATTGAGAGAAAAAAAATATGATTAGAATTTTAGAAAAAAGCCATAAAAAAAAAGAAAGTAATTATTAGAGAACAAGTAAAAATACCTAACATATTCATATCAAGTAATGTTCTCTCTATTTCTTTATTTTTTTTCTGTTTTTTCGAGTATGTGATTTTTCTTATGTTTTGTTTTGATAATTTTTTTTCATATTTTTTATATTTTTTATATTATTTCTTTTTCTAAACACAATAATAAACCTTAAATCATAAACACTAATAAAATCTTATCAAGTAACTCTTTGGATTGTGTGATTTTTTTTTTATATTATTATTTGACATTTTTTTTCACTTCTACTCTTACTATGTTAGTTCTTTTTTTAGGCACAATATATATAAAAATAATTTTTCCATTCTAAAAATAAAAAGTCAAAATTCTTTTAAGAAACAAGAATAAAATAAAATATTTTTGTTGTTATTTAAAAATAATTTCTCAAAATTTACTCTAATTTTTCCTATGCATTATTGTGTTTATTATCCTTTTTGTGAGTCATTACATCTTTGTTTATAGATGTGCATTTTTAGAATTTGTTCATGCTTCTTTCTTTTAATTTATTTTTGTTTTGATAATAATAAATGAAAGTTGAATTTTTTTTTTTTTGCTAATGAACGGGCTTCATAGCCCAAAGACTAAACAAACTAGATAGTTAATTTAAAAATCTAGACACTTAAAGTGTAACGCCCCAAATTTTGATAATATTAATTATTGTTATGGATGTGTATATATATGTGTGCATGACTGGATTGGGCTGAAAATAGGCTAAGTATCTAGATACAGGATGTTCTCGCTGTAGTGAGGAGAATTCTCGCGGTAGCAAAAGGACTCTGGGAGGAAAAGGGCGAACTGTCGCCTTCTCGCTGTAGCAAGAGACGTCTCGCTGTGGCGAGAGAACGACAGAGGGGAGTGCATTTATGGGTGCAATCTTGTTGTAGCGAGATTCTGCAGAAATCAGGATGTAGTTTCATATGAATTTTTGCTGTGGCGACAGAGGGCGTCGCTATAGCGAGAGATGCCTCACTGCAGTGAGAGTGTCGCAATCAGAGAGGTTTTAAAATGGGGGTTTAGGGATTTGAGATTCATTTCTCAAATTCCCTCCCAAATCTCTTCGATCCTCTCGACCCAAAGCCCTATTCTACCGATTAATTGCCTCCAAAGCCGTTCGAGAGCTTGATTGAAGGTTGAATCCGTGTGGGGAACGCTTGGAAGTGAGTTTTAATGGTTAGGGTTTCTGTTTTTCAACCCTTTTCTCTGTTTTTCGGTATCCTTGAGTTCTCATGGAGTTCTTCCATGTGTTTTAGGCTGAAATCTGTGTGGAGAATACTTCCGTTGTCAAATCTGAGTGTGAGTCATCAATCCAAGGTAAGGAGAGACTCTACCCTACTCTTTTTATGTGTAATTGATTAAATATGGAGTTGTGGTTGAGTTAGAAGGTAGAAAACGTATAGAGAATGAAAGATGATTGTGAAATGTGATGAGGGCCATGCGCCGTGACATGTGAATATCGTGCGTGAGGAAGAGAGAATATGTACTGGATGGAAATTACTGGGTATGGTGACATGTTAATGAATGTAAGCTACGTGCCGTGAACTACTATTGGATGTACGCTATATGCCGTGCAATACAAATGAAAATGGGCTAGGTGCCGTGTATTATGGATAATTGTAGGCTATGTGTCATGTGCTCAAATCAATGTCGGCCTAGTGCCGTATATTGCGAATGAAATGTGGATTGGGTGTAGTGTGAAGCATGAATGTTGCATGCATGTAATGGGGCGTGCTAACGCCAGTATAATGTGTTGTAATGGAGCAGGGTGTGCTAACGCTGGTATAATATGCTGTAAATGGGGCAGATAATGCCAGTATGATATGATGCGAATGGGCGTGAAGCACCGGTATAATATGCTGTGAATTATGGAATTAAAATGTACTGTGAGATAATGCTGATTGTGATTATACTTGTTTTAATGTATTTTAAATGATTCGGAAGTGAGACTCTATGATTGATTGCTGCGTTTTGGTAGTGTAGGGTACTCACCCTTACGTTCATTTTTTAGATAATCAAGACGATCAGCACCAGACTCGGTGAAGGATGGATGGAACTGCTATAGGACTTAGGATATTATATTGAAAATTGTTGTATTTGAATAAGTCTTGTAGCAACTGTTTGATGTAATTTGTAACCTCCCTTTATTTGAAATGTTTGATGAAACTTGGATTGAAAATGGAAATTTTATTATTTAAAATTTTTACGAAATTCCTTATTTATTGAAATTAAATTTAAGGTGTTACATAGAGTGTCCAAATCTCAGGAAAAGCACTAAAGAGGAGGGAGCCTCATCAAAATAGAGGAAAGGTAACCCACACTTAGCACCTAATTTAGCCAATCAATCAACACTTTGATTGACTTCTCTCAAAATATGATTGAATATGATAAACCTAATCTCTCTTAATAGCTTCCTAACTTCACTAATTACATAAAAAAAGATGATTACAACTTGGGAGGTTAACAACTAAGGATATGGCCTCTTTTAAGTCACATTCAATCTAAATTAGGTGGATCTTCTTAGAGATGACAAGATGAAGACTCTAGTAAATCTCCCAAATCTATGTAACCAGGGGGGAGTAGAAGGCTAGAGTTCTATGAAAGCCTGCAATAAACTTTCCATTGCTGCATCATCAATTTCGGGTTCAAGTTGCCTACTCATTGGAGGATGCCATCTAGTGAGTCTTTCTATCCCTAACTAAGGCAACCCCTCATGCAAAGTCTTGCCACAAGAATTGATATATTTTAATCAGAACGAATCTTGTAAATAAGAGACTCACTGGATAGAGGAAAATTTTAGAAAATCATTGTTCCTATTACGCCACAAGTTCCACCACTATACTATACAAAAGGCTCC